ACTCGACGCCTTGCGTAAAGGTCGACGTCGGTCCCTCCTTCGTCGACCACCAGGTCCAGTCGACCACCCGTAGGTCGACCAGCGGTCCGTTAGCCGACTGCCGAAGTCGGCTTCCCCAAGTTGACGTCACCAAGTTGACGTCCTCTGCAGGTCGAAACCCAAATCGACCTCCCTGAAGTCGGCGCCACCCTGAAGTCGGCGCCCGTGCAGTGGTCCCCCGTGCAGGTCGACCTCCTCGTCGACCAGCTCACCCACTGCTGAAGGCCGGCTGCTCCCCTCACACCCGACCACGAAGTCGGCTCCGCCCAAGCGAGGACGGGGCCAATACCCAACTCCCGTTGACACCGGATGCACTTGACATCCCGACTCCGCGCTCTTACGCGGAGGCGATAGAGGGTCCCTACTCCTCTCAGTGGCAGGCAGCTATGGATGCAGAGATGGCTTCCTGGAAGTCCACAAGCACCTACGTTGACGAGGTTTCCCCACCTGGGGCGAACATCGTCAGTGGCATGTGGATTTTCAGGGTGAAGCGGCCGCCGGGTTCCCCGCCTGTCTTCAAGGCGCGGTATGTGGCTCGTGGCTTCAGTCAGGGGCAGGGAGTTGACTACTTTCAGACCTTCTCTCCCACCCCGAAGATGACCACTCTTCGGGTGCTGCTGTACATAGCCGCTCAGCGCGACTACGAGCTTCACTCTCTTGACTTAAGCACTGCTTTCTTGCAGGGCAGCCTGCAAGAGGAGATCTCGCTGCGCCGCCCACTTGGCTTCACTGGGACTTTTCCTCTTGGCACCCAGTGGAGCCTCCGGCGGCCAGTCTACGGTCTTCGCCAGGCGCCGCGTGAGTGGCACGACACACTGAGGACTACGCTTGCGACTCTTGGGTTTGCTCCCTCTACTGCTGGCCCGTCGCTGTTTCTGCGCACCGACACTTCTTTGCCGCCGTTCTACATCCTCGTGTACGTCGACGACTTGGTCTTTGCCACAGCTGACACTGCTGGACTCGCCCACGTGAAGTCCGAGCTGCAAAAGAGACACACGTGCACAGACCTGGGTGAACTGCCAGCTACCTTGGCTTACAGATCACCCGGGACAGAGCACAGCGCACCATTACCCTGACTCAGTCACACATGGTCCAGCAGGTCCTTCAGCGCTTCGGCTTCACGTACTCCTCGCCTCACGCCACTCCTCTGCCTACTCGTCACTCGCTCTCAGCTCTGCCTTCGGATGAGTCCGTAGAGTCGAGTGGCCCGTACCCAGAGCTTGTTGGCTGCCTCATGTACCTGATGACCTGCACTCGACCTGACCTTGCATACCCTCTTAGCATTCTCGCACGCTATGTTGCTCCTGGGAGACACAGACTGGAGCACATGGCTGCAGCGAAGAGGGTGTTGCGCTACTTGTGCAGTACGTCGGGCATGGGGCTTGTGCTTAGAGGGCGGAGTCTAGTGGTCCTCACTGGGCACGCAGACGCTTCTTGGGCGGACGACCAGGCTACGCAGCGGTCGTCACAGGGTTACACCTTCAGCCTTGGTTCCGGCTCTGTTTCGTGGCGGGCTACCCGCTCGTCTTCTGTTCTCGGCTCCAGTTGTGAGGCTGAGATCTACGCCGGGGCCATGGCTGCACAGGAGCTTCGCTGGCTCACCTACCTGCTGACTGACTTTGGAGAGGTGCCTCGTTCTCCTCCAGTGCTGTACGTAGACAACAAGGCCATGCTGGCCCTGTGTCGAGAGCAGAGACTGGAGCACAGAACGAAGCACATTGCTCTTCGCTACTTCCTTGCTCGTGAGCTGCAGCAGCGTGGTCAGCTGCGTCTTGCGTACGTGGCCTCTGAGGCCAACACTGCTGATATCTTCACCAAGGCACTTGCGCCTTGTGATCATCAGCGCTTCTGTACTCAGCTTGGTCTTGTGCCTGTCTTGCCTCACTTGCTCATCTCTTGACCTTGCTTGTACTGTTACATATATATACACCTGCTCTTGCTTGTCTAGCTTTCTATATATATATGTACTTTTGCATGTGAACTGGCCTTGTGGCCTTGAACTTGTGCTCGGAATGTGTGGTGACTTTGTGATCCACCCTGAGCTTGCTTTACTTTGCTTTGCTTGACTGGTCTTGTGACCGCTTGTTCTCCCCCACTTTGCCTATGGGGGTGTGTCAGAACATTATAGCTTATGCTTTTGTGTAGGCTGTAGTGGGGTAGCCCATATGGGGTACAACCCAATTAGGGTTAGTACTTGTACCCAACTGTTTCATAGTTCATTCATTCTCGTTTCAATTCTCACACAGCGTGCGTTGCACAAATCAGCTTCTGCAACCCAACTGTCCTCAGATGGGTTGTATCCCTTCGTGCGGATCAAGAAATCAAGCGTGTTGCCATGTCTGCATCAATGAGCGATGACACGTTCCACCTCGTACTCGGGCTCATCTTGTCAGAGAACAAGCTGTGGTGGCAGTAGTTGTCGTCCCTGGAACCATTGGTTGGGGTCGTTGTACGGCTTCAGTAGCTGAATATGGAAAGCATTATGAAGCTTCCACGTAGTGAGTAAGCGCAAGCGAACTGTAAATGGTGTCACCTTTGTCTCCACGCAAAAAGGACCACAGAAGCAAGGCCGGAGCCTGGACGGAAGATGAGACAAGTCCACGTTACTCGTGTCAAGAAGAACCCAATCTTTGACTGCTATCAAGTAATCTCGTCACTGTCGATCCGCATACTACTTCTTGGAGTTTTTCATCGTGGTGAGACGTCGGTGAGTCTTCTCCCATAGTTGCTGCATGGTGGTGACGAAGTCATGTACGGCTTGAACGTGTGCCGGTGAAGTTGGCTGCTGTGGTGTGATTGGTTCACGCCTGTAGCACAGAAACAAAGGAAATTTCCTAGTGAATGCATGTCATGCACGGTTGTAAGTGAACTCAAGCGTCGCTAACTGTAGATCCCAATGGCTGATTTCGTCTTTGCAAGGTTTGCACAGTAACTGTTCAACCACCTGATTGAGTTACTCGACATGTTCGTCGAGCTCGGGGAGGTATGATGAATGCATCGCAAGCTTTTGCAGAGATTCACTCTACAGCGGTAGTGAGCTAGACTACGGGGGTTGGCACGAACTACTTGGAGTGATCGTAGCTTTGCTTAGTTCCTCAGTGCTTGCACATTCATGGGAGAAATTGGCAAGAGTTTCCACTAGGCAAAGTCGGAATTCCATAATGATTGAGTTCACAATGACAGGAATCACTACATCAGGCACCTAGCAACTCTGCAGCTAGCCTGGTTGAACGCCAGCACAGCTTGGTCGACCGCCTGCCAGCGTTGTGTAGAGGAGCTGCGCCAGCACTGCAGAAAGGCAACCTGCCAACACTGCAGGTCGACGGCGTGCCAACGTTGCAGAAGAGCAATTGTCCAGCATTGCCCCATACAAGACAACAGTGCGCACGCTCACAGGTGCGCGTAGACGATTGGCCTGACTTGCATCGTTGTACATCTGTTAGTTGTTGTCTGCGCCTGGCGAGCCACATCGACTTCGAGATACCAACCCAAAGTCGCCTTCGGCATCACGACCTTGACGACGTTCGCGTGCCTCCACAGGACTCGTCGAGCAGATTACCCGGTCGACCTGGTCGACCCCCCGGTGCCTCTGGTTGACCACAACTCCTGTCGAGCTACCCCTTGGTTGTCGGACCCCTTCCGTCGACTAGAACCGTTAGTGGTCGTCGCCAAGCTCCCCTCGTTGACCGCTGCTCACTTTGTCAGGTCGACGGACTGCTCTGTCGACCTCCCGGTCAAACTGCCCCTCCTGGTCGACGGCCCACTCGTCGCCCAGACCAGTCAGTTGCAACTGATGAGCTCCCTGGTCAACAGCAACACCACAGCGGTCCCCTGCAGCTCGACGAAGACTATCGAGCAGCTCTCCCATAGTGAACGTGTCAAACTTATATGCTATAGTCTATATAGGCTGTAGTGGAGTAGACACTATAGGGTACAACATTTCTAGGTTTCCTACTTGTACCCACATTCTCCTTAGTCATTCATTCCCTCATTTCTTCACATGGTATAGAGTAGGTTCCCTAGTGGGAACTATTCCTAGGGCCCATCACTGAAAATCGAGTTTTTCTTTTTTTTCCTGCCCTGAGATCGAGTCGCCCCTGACCGAGACGCGCCCTGTGTGCCGCCCTCCCCTTAGCAACCCGTCGCGCCGCCCTTAGCGGCCCCTACCCTCTCACGGCCCCTCCCGACCCTGTCGCCGCCCCATAGCGGCCCGTCGCACCGCCCTGAGCGGCCCGTCGCGCCGCCCTCAGCGGTCCCTTGCGGCCCCACCTCCACGGCCCCGTCGCCACCCTCTCGCGGCCCCGTCACCGCCCTCTCGCGGCCCCGTCGCCGCCGTTCGCGGCCCCGTCGCCGCCCTCGCGGCCTCGTCGCCGCCCTCTCGCGGCCGCGTCGCCACCCTCTCGCGGCCCCAGTGCCGCCCTCTTGCGGCCTCGTCGCCGCCCTTAGCGGCCCCGTCGCCGCCCCTTGCGGCCCCGTCGCCGGCCCTTGCGGCCCCGTCGCCGCCCCTTGCGGCCTTGTCGCCGCCCTTAGCGGCCCTGTCGCCGCCCCTTGCGGCCCCGTCGCCGCCCCCTTTTGGCCCCTCCCCGGCCCGTTCACCGCCGAGCTGCCGAGCCGCCAAGCCACCGAGCCGCCGAGCCGCCGAGCAGCCGAGCCGCTGAACCGCCGAGCCTCCGAGCCGCTCAGCCGCCGAGCCGCCGAAGCCGTCGTCAAGCCGCCACTACCGAGCCGCTGCCGCCGAGCCACCACTACCGAGCCGCTGCCGCCGAGCCGCCGTCGAGCCGCTACTGCCACTGCCGAGTTGCTGCCACCGCGGTTGCAGCCCTGTTCTTACCGGCGCGCCCAGGCCCTACCCACCCGGACTGGTGAGAGCACTCCCTACTAGACCACTGCGGTCATGGCTACCCCCAGTGTCCTTACCTTTGATGCTGAGGGTCGTGCTGTTGACTTCGAGGTCTGGGTCGATGACCTACAGCTCTTCCTATAGTGCGATAGGGCAGACGGACTCTCCCTGTTCGATCTCACCTCTGGTGCCTCTCTTGCCCTGCCTGCTAATGCTGACACCACTGTTCGCTCTCAGTGGGCCACACACGATGCTGCTGCACGTCTTGCTGTGCGTCGCCACTTACCGACCGCTGAGCATGCGCACTTTAGTCAGTACAAGAGTGCTAAGACCTTGTACGATGCTGTAGTTGCACGCTACTCTTCCCCTGCCACTGCTGCTCTTAGCCGCCTCATGCTGCCGTATCTGTTCCCTTGACCTTGCTACCTTTCCCACAGTTGCTGACCTCATTACGCACCTTCGCACTAGTGACACTCGCTACCGCGCTGCGCTTCCTGCTGAGTTCTGTGCCAAGAACCCTCCCCCCATGTACATCACCCTCTACTACATAGTCACCCGGCTCCCTGACTCCCTTCGCTTAGTCAGGGACCACTTCCTCTCAGTTTGCCCCACCACATTCACCATTGACCTCCTCGAGGAGCGCCTCCTGGCAGCAGAGGAGAGCATAGTCGTTGTAGGAGCCTCTCGTGGTGACCCTCGTACCCCCGTCTTTGAGGGGTGTTCCCCCTCCCCCCTCTTGCCCTCTGTTGCTTCTTCTGCTGCGGCCGACCTGGTTGGCTTCAAGTCGGTCGGAGTTGCGTCTGCCCCTAGCAGGAGACGCCGCACCGGCAAGGGCAAGGGGGGCAAGGGCACTGGAGGGGCTGGCTGGGGCGATGGAGGTGGCGGTGGAGGCAGTGGAGGGGGTGGGGGTGGTGGTGGGAGTGGTGGCGGGGGTGGAGGTGTCGGTGGCGGCAGTGGAGGCGGAGGAGGCGGCGGCGGTGGCGGAGGGAGCGGAGGCGGCGGAGGTGGCGGAGGCGGCGGCGGCAGCGGTGGAGCTGGTCGCGGCTCTGCGCAGAGGAGTGGCTCCGGTGGTGGTCTGCGCCAGCTGCATCAGCGCACTCGTGAGAACCCGTCCCCTCAGCAGCTTCGTGAGTGGTACGCTGGGCGTCAGCGAGGTGGGGGTACTGGTCCCTGTACCTACGTCCTCCGCACCGGCGACCGCGCTGGTGAGCAGTGCGGGGGCCCGCACTCCACCCAACGCTGCTTCGGCCGCCTGACGGACGCTTGGCGTCACCAATTCCCTGACGCCACTGAGATCCCTCGCTGGGGAGAGCTGTCTAGGGCGGGAGTTCCTATCTTTAATCTTGATTATGATGCTATTCTTGCTGCCATGTATGCTATGTCTACTAGTGATGAGGGTGACTGTTACCTGTGTGTTCCGCCTGACCCGGGCATTGAGGCTGCTGCTCTAGGTGCTGGTGAGGCTGCTGCTCTAGGTGCTAGTGCGTCTGCTGCCCCAGGTGCTGGTGAGTCTGCTCTCTCAGGTACCACGTCGGCTCAGGCCTTACACACCTTCACCCTTGACTCGGGGGCTTCCCGCTCCTTCTTTCGAGATCGCATCATGCTTACCCCGCTTAGTCGGCCGGTTGCCGTCTCCCTGGCGGACCCCTCTGGGGGTCCTGTCCTTGCTAGCTTCTCCACTGTCTTACCGTGCCCGGCAGCCCCCTCTGGCACCCTGTGAGGTCTCTACCTCCCCTCGTTCTCTACGAACTTGGTGAGTGGAGGTGATCTACAGGATAGGGGGGTTGACCAGTTCACTCCTGCGAGTCAGCGGGTGACCCACTGCACATGTGCTCGGACGGGCCGACACTTGGCCACGTTTACCCGTCGGCCGGGGTCCAGCCTGTACACACTGACTACTGAGTCTCCTCCGGTTGCTGAGTTTGGTCAGGTAGCTGTGTCGAGTCAGGTGTTTGCTGCAGCGTCCAGGTCTGGTCCTGAGTCTGCTCCCTGCTCGTGTTGTCTCCTGTCCCACCAGACTCTCCTCTGGCACCACCGCCTTGGTCACCCCTCCCTGCCTCGTCTCCGAGGCATGGCCTCACGTGTCCTTGTCTCTGGTCTCCCCCGGTCCCTCCCTCCCCTCCCTCTGGGGCCTGCCCCTACCTGCGTTACATGCGTCGAGGGGCGGCAGCGCGCCGCCCCTCACTCCTCCGAGTTTCCTCCGACAGAGGCTCCGCTGCAGACTCTTCACATGGACGTGTGGGGCCCCACCCGCGTCCGTGGCCAGGGTCACGAGCGTTACTTCCTGTTGGTGGTTGATGACTACTCGTGTTACACCACGGTGTTCCCCTTGCGCAGCAAGGGTGACGTCACTGAGGTGTTGATCGACTGGATCCGCGCAGCTCGTCTCCAGCTCAGAGAGAGTTTCGACTCGGACTTTCCTGTTCTGCGTCTTCACTCTTACAGAGGCGGGGAGTTTTCCTCTGCCCTTCTGGGAGCCTTCTGTCGTGCACATGGCATCCACCAGACCTTCACGCTTCCGGCCTCTCCACAACAAAATGGGATTGCTGAGCGCCGCATTGGCATGGTCATGGACGTCGCTCGTGCGTCCATGATCCATGCGGCTGCTCCCCATTTTCTGGTTCGGTACGCGGCGCATCAGATCAACCTTCAGCCCCGGGTCTCCTTGCCGGTGACCTCCCCCACCTTACGGTGGACGGGGAAGGTTGGCGATGCGTCTGCGTTTCGTGTCTGGGGATCTCGGGCGTTTGTCTGCAACTTGACTGCGGACAAGCTGCCCCCCCGTGCGGTTCCCTGCGTCTTCCTTGGCTTCCCCTATGACGCGTCTGGTTGGCAGTTTTACCACCCCACCTCGCGCCGTGTTCTGTCCTCCCAGGATGTCACGTTTGACGAGTCGGTTCCTTACTACCATCTCTTCCCCAACCACACTGCACCCCTCCCCCCCCTGCGCCAGGTCCCCCCCCGGTAGACCCCCTCCCCCCTCAGGGTCCTGCCCCGTCAGGTGTGTCCTAGGTAGACGCAGTCGAGCCTGTCGAGGTAGCTGTTGACTCTCGTACTGCAAGGGGTGCTGAGCCTAGGGATGCTGAGCCTGGGGGTGCTGAGTGTGGGGGTGCTGGGCCTGGGGGTGCGGAGCCAAGGGGTGCTGAGCCTGGGGATGCGGAGCCTGGGGGTATGGAGCCTGGGGGTGCTGAGCCTGGAGGTGCGGAGCTTGGGGGTGCAGGGTCTGCTCGTGTGGCCTCTGGCGGTGCTGGGTTTGGGGCCCCTTCGGGTGCTTCGTCGAGGCGGGAGCTACCCTCTCCACAGGAGCTGCGTGATTGGTTTGCCCGGCGCTGGAGCCGTGCTGCGGGAGCTGGAGGTGCTGCTGTTACTGCTGGCCCTGGGGTCGGCGCTGGAGTTACTGGAGCCACTGGTCCTGGAGGTGCTCGTACTGGCGGTACTGGAGCTACTCGGCCTGTGGGTGCTGCTGACAGTCCTGCTGGAGATGGTGCTGCTGGAGCTGGAGCTGTTGGAGCTGGAGCTGCTGGGGGTGTTGGCGCTGGAGGTGCTGCTGACGCTGGTGCGTCTGTGGGTGCTGGAGTTGGCGCTGTAGGAGCTGGAGGTGTTGCTGGCGCTGGTGCTGCCGCTTCGGGTACTGGTACTGTCTCTGCTGGTTCTAGAGGCGCTGCACGGCCGCGGCTGTACTTCGTTCCGCTCCTTGAGCAGGTTCTTGGTCTCCCGCCCTCTACTGGTCCTGCTCCTCCCTTATTTGTCCACAGCCTGTCCAGTCGCAGTCACAGTTACAGCCCGCCTCCCCCCTACTTGCTCCTTCTCCCTACACTGGTCCTACTGGAGGTCTTGCTGGGCGTCGTGAGCCTGCGTCTCGTCCTGCGTCGCCTGTTCGTGCTGCTCGCACTAGTAGTCGTGCTTCGCGTCCGCGTCCTCTGCGGTCCTAGGCACACACCGGATGGCACTGCGTCCTTCCACTGCTCCTCTGCGTGTCCTGTTGCCGTCTCCTCCAGAGTCCTCTGTTCCTGTCCTTGATGACCCGGAGTCTGACTCTCGTCGTGCTTCCAGTCCTACTGTCACACGTCTCCTGGCTACTGTTGTCACTGACCCTTCCTTTGAGTCCACTGCTGCGTCTGCCTTAGTTGCCGAGCTTGTCGACTTTGCTGCTCGTTGTCGTCTAGACTACGCTGCGAGTCTTGTTGCTGAGCTTGAGTCTGTCTGTCCTCCGTCCGTCGGGGGTGAGTGTGCTCTTAGCACGGACGTCCTTGAGGACAGGCAGGAGGAGTTCCAGTGTTTTGCTGCTGCTTTGCCTCATCTTGTGTCCACGCTGATTGCCCCTAAGGGAGAGCCGGATGCACCAGACATCCCGACTCCTTGATCGTACGCTGAGGCGATCGAGGGTCCCTACTCGTGACAGTGGCAGTCAGCCATGGACGCAGAGATGGCTTCCTGGAAGTCCACAGGCACCTACGTCGACGAGGTTCCCCCACCTGGGGCGAACATCGTCAGTGGCATGTGGATTTTCAGGGTGAAGCGGCCGCCGGGTTCTCCGCCTGTCTTCAAGGCGCGTTACGTGGCTCGAGGCTTCAGTCAGTGGCAGGGAGTTGACTACTTTGTTGGATGCACGTCATTCTGAGTGCATGTCATCCTAACGTCCTGCTGAGTGCTCGTGCTATTTGTGCTTGCATGATTTGCATGAGCGTATGTCATTGTGCATGGCTGTTGGAGATAATCATCTCTGTGTTTTTCTCCAAGACTGAATGCTTGATCATGCAAGAGAAATCCAGAGCTTTCCAACGACACCAAGATCGCCTTATTCCGACCAAGATCGCCCAAGTTACAAGATTTCCAAGATTTGGATTTCTTATGACCTTTTGGGGTTATATCTAATTTGGGTGATTACTTGGGACATGACTATAAAGGGATCTTTGGTTGGGTGGTTAAGAAGGCAACTTTGACTTTTGGATTAGGGTGGCTAGAAGTTTCTAGCATGGGTTGCAAATGTTGCAACACCTAGGCAAAATCCAACTAGATTGGATTTTGCATGTGACACCTCAAGGACCTCATGATGAAGGTTGCATCCTTGCTATTGGAAAGGTTCCTACCATCCTTCCCTAGCTCTTGGAGAACCCCTTCTCTCTCATGGTTCTCTTGGAGTCCCCAACTCCAACTTTCTATGCCTTAATGCTTGTACTTCCTCCACCATACTAGTCATGCGGCTGCTGGACGTTTTTACTTGGTTCTCACTCTATAGACCATCTTAACGACTGATTCAACTTTGAGATGGTAGCTAAGCCTAAGGCGCAACTTCCTACCGAGCGGATTTGCGTTTAGTTGAGTAATGAGTTCGTCGTAAGCTCTCAACGTGACGTATCCTGAACACCAAGTGGTATCAGAGCGGGTAGTCGACTTTGAGACGACGAATTGTTGTAAATTCTCAACCAATGTTGTCGAGTGAGACCATTTTCTAGTAGCTCTGCTTGCGAACTTTCGATTGGTGGTCAAACCGCGTTTTAATTTGAAGTATTCAGTCCACGACGGTGATTTTCGTAGAATCGAAATTTCTGGCATAATTCTCTCCAAACGATTTCTCAAGTTTCCACCGTTCATAAGGCCTCAATATGGTTGGTACGAACTCCGGAGGTGCTAGTGGCGAGATGGATAGAAGTAGAGAGGCTGGAGAGCAGGGGGGAGTTGCTGGTGGAGGAGTGAGGACTCACCAACCAGCCAACCCTACGCTACCTACTTCTTCTACACCATCTCCTACTACCGTGGATCCTGTGAAAGCTTTCTCTTGAGAAATTCATGGGGGAGGACTACGAGCACTGGAGTTTCCGCATGAGGCTGATGTATACCCAATACAAGCTATTGGGTTTGGTGGAGGGGAAGGAGAATATGTCGGAGGCCGCGGAGCTGAAAGGAGCGTGGATGAAGCGATCGTTTGACGCGTACATGCTCATGGTGCAAGCGGTTGGCGGACGACAACTTGACCACATCAAGGACCTCTTGGGTGATCCAGAGTGTGGCCCCAAGGCTAGGAGGAAGTTTCTTGATGGAGAGCCGATGCAACCGGTGTTCAATGAGATGCGGGACATCTTCACGAAGCTGCAAGGCGGCAGTGTGGTGTACCCGGAGCTCGTGCAATGCGTGGAGATCGTGATACGGCTGCCGGAGTCGTGGTCTGCCCTTCTGATCAACCTCAACTCCCAACAACCCCAATAGAGCGTGGATTACATTCGCGCGCGCATCCTAGAGGAGGACTTGCGGCGGGGGAGTGTGGAGCGCTCGGAGGAGGGGGCTGGCTATGGAGTTGGAGGTGGAAAAAGTGGCTTCAAAAAGAAGTGGAAGGGCAAGAACAAGGATAACCCTAAGAAGGATGGTGGCGGGGGTCAAGGGGAGGTGTGCTTCTACTGCAAGAAGCGCGGGACATCGTTGGCGGAAGTGCTACCAACGACCCAAGGATTGGACCCCGCCTTCATCAAGCAACCAACGTGGTGGCACAAGGAGTGGGGGAGTCATGGGAGCTAGTGGAGAGGAGAAGGATGAGGAGAAAGGCGGCAAATCTGAGGAGCAGAAGGCCGGGTTCTTCTTCTTCGTGAACGAAGGCGCAACCGATCACGCTATGGCTGCCAAGGTTCTCCTACACCCCCTCACCCATTGGGTGATTGACTCCGGGAGCTCTTGGCACATGACTCCTCGTGCGGACCTACTTGATGAGATTCAGCCCGCACCGATCTCTACAGTCACATCCGCGACGGGCGCCAAGGCCAAGGTCATGGGCATGGGATGCCCCAAGTTCATGGGAGCGAATGGAGAGCTCGTGGGGCTGAAGAACGTGCTGTAGGTGCCGGACTTGTGCGCGAACCTGATTTCTACAGGCCGGTTGGGAGATGCGGGTGTGAACACCGAGACGATTGGCTCGGAGCGCTATTGTGCCTACAACGATGAGCGCCTCATTTGGGACCTGCAGTGGAAGGGAGATGTCTACAAGTAGATGTGGCAGATCCCGGTCCTCCCTTGGCGGAAATCGGGCAAGACGGCAGCGGCGGCATCTATGGAGGAGAGTGTCACCGAGGAGGAGCAACAAGGTGTGCAAGGAGAGGAGCTGATTGGAGGAAGCGCGGCGGTGAAGGCGTCGGGTACCTCGGGCCAAGCGGATTGGGAGACTTGGCATCGGCGGCTCGCACACGTGGCTGTTTCTACATTGGAGGTGATGCACAAGGAGAAGTGCGTGCATGGGCTGCAACTGCAAGGAGATGGCGCTCACTATGGCAGCTGCGAGGCGTGCATGCAAAACAAGTTTGCGCGGTTCCCGTTTCCACGTGCAGAGGGATCAGCCAAGGCACCATTGGAGGTGGTGCACATGGACCTGGTGGGTCCTATGAGGACTGAGGGGACTGGGGGAGTGCTGTACTTCCTCACCATGGTGGATGAATGGAGCCGTTTCACGTGGGCACGTCCCTTGTCCAAGAAGAGCGATGCTGCAGCGGCAATCAAGGAGGATTGGTTGCCGATGGTGGAGCGGCAAGCGATGCGGCTGGTGAAGGTGCTGAGGAGCGACCGAGGTGGAGAGTTCCTTGGAGCGGAATTCACCAAGTTCCTCAAGAGAAATGGCATCCGACATCAGCTGACCTGCCCTGGAACACCGCAGCAGAACGGCATTGCTGAGCGTGCCACCCGGACTATTGGCGAGGCGGCTAAGACCTTGTTGGGGGTTGCTGGGATGCCCTACAAGTTCTGGCCTGATGCCGTTCGTCATGTCATCACGGTCAAGAACAGGGTCTTGACGCATGTTGGCGACAAGCATTGGGTGCCGTACGAGCGTTGGCTTGGGAAGAAGCCATCTATTGACATGCTGCGTGTGTGGGGCTGCATGGGGCTTGTGATGGTGCCTAAGGAGCAGAGGCACAAGCTGGAAGTTGCTGCTGTGTGGGCTGTCCATCTTGGGATGGCTCCTGACTCGAAGGGGTGGCTGATGTGGGACCCCAAGAGCAAGAAGTCGCTAGTCAGCCGTGACGTCAAGTTTGTGGAGGACGTCATGTACAAGGACTGGCACCAGCAGCAGCAGGTGCAGATTGGCTTGCGTCTGCAGGAGATTAGGCGGTCTGCAGTGAAGGAGGTTCAGCTGCACCTTGAGGATCTCCCTGGGTCAGAGCTGACCAGTGACCACAGTGGCGGTGGTGAGCAGCAAGGCGCTGGTCTTGCTGCGGAGGAGGGGTTGGAGGATGAGTCGGCACGTGTGGACTCACCATCTCAGCCCGAGCCTGCTGCAAACACCAAGGTCACCAAGAGGAGTGTGCAGAGAGGAGCTTCACCACATGGGCAGCAGATTGCAACCCGCGAGAAAAGAGTGGCAGCAGCACCCTCAAGGCTGAAGTATAGCCGTTTGGGAGGACCCAAGCAAGGTGCCATGGCAGTTCAGGCGGATGAGGGAGAGGATGAGGAGATGGCGTTCTGTTTCTTCACACCCTTGCCTGGAGAACCAGCCACAGTGGAGGAGGCACTGAGTGGACCCCAAAAGGAGGAGTGGAAGGCTGCCATGGATGCGGAGTTCAATAGTCTCATTGAGAATGGGAATTGGGAGCTTGTTGAGTTACCCAAGGGGCGACGACCGATTAGCAGCAAGTGGGTCTTCAAAGTGAAGAGTGGTGCTGATGGTGCGTTGGAGCGGTTCAAGAGCCGCTTGGTCGCCAAGGGGTTTCAGCAGAAGGAGAAGGTCGACTTTGGGGAGATCTTTGCTCCCGTTGCTAAGCCAGTGACATTGAGGACTTTGATGGCTGGCGCAGCTGTGAAGGGATGGCACGTGAAGCAGATGGATATCACCACTGCGTTCCTCAATGGAATACTGCTGGAGGATATCTACATGGCGCAGCCCGACGGCTATGAGGATGGGACCAGCCGGGTGTGCAAGCTTAAGAAGGCCATCTATGGCCTTAAGCAAGCGCCCAGGTGTTGGTACGAGAAGCTAGAGGAGGTGCTGTTGGGTGGAGGCTTCAAGACGTCCCAGGCGGATCACAGCTTGTTTCTGCTTGGAGAGGGGGAGCAGCTGCTTTTGCTGCCGGTGTATGTCGACGACATACTGCTGTTCTCACCTTCCATGGAGCAGATTGAGAGGACACAGAAGCTGCTGATGGACAACTTCAAGTGCAAGATGCTGGGGGATGTCCACTACTACTTGGGGCTACAGATTGAGAGGGATGTTGAGAGGAGGTGGCTGAAGGTGCATCAGTCACACTAAATCTCTGGTGTCATGGAGCGGTATGGTGTGACTGGGGGTCGCACTGTGATGACACCGTTCCCTGCTGGCTTCAAATTGAAGAAGGCAGCTGAGGAGGATGATGTGCTTGAGGATGAGCAGCAGAATGAGTACCACTCACTCATTGGGAGTGTGATGTATGCAGCTGTGCATACGCGACCTGATGCTTCATTCAAAGTGGGGCAGCTGGCCAGAGTTGTGCAACGGCCCATTGTGGAGCAGTTGGAGGTGGCAAAGCGCTTGGTGCGCTACCTTGGATCAACGGCATCTGCTGGTGTTCAGTTTTTAGCTGGTGGCCAGCTGAAACAGATTGGAGCAGATGGGGTCACGCCTGGTACCTTGAAGCTGTCGTGCTTCACCGACGCCACATGGGCCTCAGAGGATGAGGATCAGTCATCGGTTGGAGGCTTTGTGTGCATGGTCGGAGGTGGACCAGTGAGCTGGAGGTCCAAGAAGCAGAGTGAGATTGCTCAGTCTTCTAGAGAGGCAGAGTACATGGCGATGTACCATGCCATTTAGGAGATCGTGCTCCTGAGGAAGCTGCTGGAGGACATGGGAGTTGAACAGGAGGGACCTACACCACTTTTCTCCGACAGTGAGGGTGCTATTGGCATGGCCAATAATCCTATCCTGAATGGGCTGAACAAGCACATGAAGATTAAGTGGCACTGGGTGAGGCAGATGGTGAAGGAGGGAGCTGTTGAGCTTCACCATGTGAAGGCTAGCAAGCAGGCGGCAGATTTTCTCACCAAGAGACTTCCCGAGAGCGCACATTGGAAGTGTGCTAAGATGTGTGGCATGGCATTGCACTAGTGAGGGCAGCAGTGTCATGAATGCATGTGTGATTGTGTGCATGAGACTATGCATGTGTGTGAGTGTGTGTGCATGCAGTCCGTTATTCTGAGGGGGAGTTTGTTGGATGCACGTCATTCTGAGTGCATGTCATCCTAACGTCCTGCCGAGTGCTCGTGCTATTTGTGCTTGCATGATTTGCATGAGCGTATGTCATTGTGCATGGCTGTTGGATATAATCATCTCTGTGTTTTTCTCCAAGTCTAAATGCTTGAACATGCAGGAGAAATCCAGAGCTTTCCAACGACACCAAGATCGCCTTATTCCGACCAAGATCACCCAAGTTACAAGATTTCCAAGATTTGGATTTCTTATTACCTTTTGGGGTTATATCTAATTTGGGTGATTACTTGGGACATGACTATAAAGGGATCTTTGGTTGGGTGGTTAGGAAGGCAACTTTGACTTTTGGATTAGGGTGGCTAGAAGTTTCTAGCATGGGTTGCAAATGTTGCAACACCTAGGCAAAATCCAACTAGATTGGATTTTGCATGTGACACCTCAAGGACCTCATGATGAAGGTTGCATCCTTGCTATTGGAAAGGTTCCTACCATCCTTCCCTAGCTCTTGGAGAACCCCTTCTCTCTCATGGCTCTCTTGGAGTCCCCAACTCCAACTTTCTATGCCTTAATGCTTGTACTTCCTCCACCATACTAGTCATGCGGCTGCTGGACGTTTTTACTTGGTTCTAACTCTATAGACCATCTTAACGACTGATAAAACTTTGAGATGGTAGCTAAGCATAAGGTGCAACTTCCAACAGAGCGGATTTGCGTTTAGTTGAGTAATGAGTTCGTCATAAGCTCTCAACGTGACGGATCCTGAACAACATACTTTCAGACCTTCTCTCCCACCCTGAAGATGACCACTCTGTCAAACTTATATGCTATAGTCTGTGTAGGTTGTAGTGGGGTAGACTATATGGGGTACAACATTTCTAGGTTTTCCTACTTGTACCCACCTCTTTCCTAGTTCATTCATTCCTCATTCTTCACATGGTATAGAGTAGGTTCCCTCGTGGAAACGCTCCTCAGGGCCCACCACTGAACTCGATTTTTTTTTTTTCTTCTCCTGCCCGAGGCGCGCCCTGTAGGCCGCCCTCACGTCGCGCTCCCTTAGCGGCCCCTCTCATGGCCCCTCGTGCCCCCCCCTTAGCGGCCCCGTCGCCGCCCTTTGCGGCCCCGTCGCCGCCCCTCTAGGCCACGTCGCCGCCCCTCTAGGCCCCTCGCGGCCCCTTCGCGGCCCCGTCGCCGCCCCTAGCGGCCCCGTCGCCGCCCCTCCAGGCCCCTCGCGGCCCCCTCGCGGCCCCGTCACTGCCCCTAGCGGCCCCGTTGCCGCCCCTCTAGGCCCCTCACGGCCCCTTCGCGGCCCCGTCACCGCCCCTCTCGGCCCCTTCGCCGCCCCTCTAGGCCCTTCGCA